GCTGTGGAGAACTCTGCAAAAAACGCATCTTCGTACGGGCAGCCCGTGCGTTGGCCAATTATTACAATTTGAATAAGCTCACACGATTATCCGATAGTATCTGGTAACAAGTACATGCTCAAGGATAATAATATGACCTCTGTCACATCGCCCGGCTTCTTACTCCGTTGTTTGTTCTTTTTATTTCCTTTTTGTTTGCTCGTCGGATCCTTGATTTCCATAGCATCTTTCAGAGTGAATTTAGGTGGCACATCCTTAACAGAACAACGACTTTGCTTTGCCAGCAAAAGAATTATTCAGAAACATTCAAAAACGAAAATTCTGCAAGAAACCTGTGCAGCAACGTCGTCAGCACGATCTTCCCAACTCTCGGGTACCGGCCAATCGGGCCACAAATCCGGCACTGGTAACTGCTTCTTCTTACCAGACGGTGCTGGCGCGTTAGCGCCGAAATTGAAGCTACTGCTCTGATTTGTGGGGCCCTGAAGAAGCAAATCATTTTTGCAAACAGTTGCAGGAAAATGAAATGGGTAACTAGCAAGTGAAAGACGTTGAATCGGTAAAAAAGTCCAATGATGCAGCGTTTTCCGAAGGAACTGAGCAGACTTAATTCAAAGCTTTCGCCTTCAATTTGCATCCCATTTGGAGTGATGCTTGCCTGCTCAAACATACCGCTTTCCACACTGATATGACAGGCCTGTATAAATACAGAACTTTCAAACTTAAAGCGCTACACCTATCACATGCGAAAGAAAGAAAATCCAGTTTCTTAAAACACTAGCGCTTTCAGGTTGATTTTAGTGCCTTCTAGCTGGATTTTGTTCCCCGCTGATTGAATTTTGCGCCCAGTCACAGAGAATATGTGGATTATGGCTCGATTTTTCGTTCTTATGCGTTTTTTTTTGCAGCTATGCAATGCAGAAAACTAATATTGACGAGGGGTTGTCTGTGTGTGCCTGTGTGTGCGTTTGTCACGGTTTTTCATCTCAAGACTTACAAAAGCTACAGGACTGAAATTTTGGGAAGTTAATCTACATGAGTGTGCGGGCTCCAATCCCCAAGATGGGCGCTCTTGCTCATGTGATACCCACGTATGGGCCCGCCAAAACTTTTTTCAAGTTTTTTCGAGTAAGTTAGAAGGCTGTAGTTTTAAGGGAACGTTTCCTGTCCACGTAAGTCCCAACGAGCTCAGACCTAGACACCGGGTATGCGTGGTACCCATGCACGGGCTCGCCAAATTTTTTTTCAGGCAAGTTGATGACTCGGGAACCTAAGAAGCTAGAAGACTGGAATTTTGAAGGGATGTTTTCTGACAGTCCCAGCGGCTAGTCTGAAATCTTTTAGTAAGAAACACCTGCCAAAAAAA